TCTGGCTCAACCCACAGCGCCACACCAGGACTCCAATAAGTACCATAGGATTTACTTAAATCTTCGTCCAGGCCAGGGAAAGCCACTACTCATCTGTCAGATTGTCATGGTGACTTGTGAGTTGCTGTGATTCTGAAAGCTATGCCACCGGTATTTTAAATATCAGCAGGGTCACCCATGCTGGACAGGTTTCAGATGAACTTCCAGATGAAGACAGACTAGGAAGAAGGAGTGATGAACTACTTCTGAATGTTTAGTCACTGAAAACCTTATGAATAGCAGAGAAACACTGTCAGATATAGTACTGGAAAATGAGCCCCTCAGGTTGGAAGGCACTCAAAATGCATCTAGGGAGGAGCTGCCTCCTCAAAGTAGAGTCCATCATGATGACACGAATGGAGTAAAGCTTGTGGGGAGCAAAGCCCATGGTACCTTCATTTGCTGATGGGGCACAACTCAAAATGAAGAGAAACAGCTGTAACATCTATTGAAAATCAGAACATGGAATGTACGAAGTATGGATCTGGGAAAACTGGAAGTTGTCAAAAATGAAATGGAACAGATAAACATTGATATCTTAGGCATTAGTGAGCTCAAATGGACTGGTATTGGCCATTTTGAATCTTACAACCACATGGTTTACTAAGCCGGGAAAGGAAAATTGAAGAGGAATGGTGTTGCAGTCATTGTCAAAAAGAACATATCCAGATCAGTCATGAGGTACAACGCTGTCTGTGATAGGATAATATCCATGCACCTACAAGGAAGCCCAGTTAATGCCACTATTATTCAAATTTACACACCAACCACTAAAACCAGTGAGGATGAAATAGAAGAATTCTACCAACTTCTTCGATCTGAAACTGATCAAGCATGCAATCAGCATGTATTGCATTTGAATGCAAAGGTTGGGAGCAAAGGGGCTCAGTAATTGGAAAATATGGCCTTGGTGATAGAAATGAGGCTGGAAATCACATGATAGAATTCTGCAAAATCAATGATTTGTTCATTTCAAATACCTTTTTTAGACAGCATATGACATGATTATACACATGGACCTCACCAGATGGAATACACAGAAATCAAATTGACTACATCTGTGTAAAGAGACGATGGAAAAGCTCCATATCACCCGTCAAAACAAGGCCAGGGGCAGATTCTAGGCAGAGGTTTTTCTGGAATAAGTTTCATGCTGAGTCACAGGGGGTGTCACAGTTACCTCGATCTCTAGATCCCACCCACTGCTATAACTTCCAGTTGTTGTTGTTATGTGCTGTGGAGTCGGTTCCGACTCATAACGCCCCTGTACAGGGTTTCTGAGACTGTAAATCTTTACGGGAGCAGAAAGCCTTTTCTTTCTCCCGAGGAACAGCTGGTAGTTTCAAATTGCTGACAGTGAGATTCGCAATTCGTAAACACAACGCTAAATACACACCCAAGTGTGACTTTTCACAATGTACAAAAAATTCTTTGATCCTCCTTCAAAAGGTAGAGCAGCCTCATGAGCGATCCTGAGCCAGAACTATACATCATGCTGTTGCCAGATTCCTGAGCCTCACAAATTGTACAAGACTCGATTTGTTGTTTTTAATTGCTAACTTTTGGGGTAACTTGTTATAATATAAATAAAAATATCAATTCTCTGCTATGAGCAAATTTACTCTTGTGAGCTCCCAGATTAGACAGTTGTTCCCACTGCCCCCAGACGCCTACAGCTCCCGTTTCTTTCCAGGTCGCCCAGAGCTTACACTTTTCCCTAAGAGGCTCTTAGGAGGGACCCCGACCTCACCCTCTCCTCTCAGGGTCCTGGTGGCGATACTTGTCCCGGTTCTCAGATCTTTTGTTCGCCATCTGCCCTACCCCTCCTTGACTCTAAATCACAACTGTCCACTCTGTTCCCATGCTCCTGTGACTCAAACCTGCCTCATTGCCTCCTAGAAACACCTCACTTCCCATGCTGGCGTCCCTCAGACTTGTTTGGAGCTTTGTCCTTTTCTCCAGAACGGTGCCCGAAACACAGTAGACGTGTTCGAGAACTGCTACAAGAGCCTCACCCTCAGCTAGCTCTCTCCCCTGAACCCTCACGCCCCTGGTCCCGCGGCGCCTAGAGCCCAGAGAACCCCTCAGCATCCGGCGCTCTGCGGAACACTGCGTCCCAGACGCGTTTCCGGAGGAGGGAGTTCAGCGTCGGTCTCCCGCTCTCCCTGGGCTGCTGCGTCCGCGATTGGTGCGCATGGCGGTGAGCCGGGGAGAGAGGACGCACGGGTGTTGGAGCCTCGGGTTGTCGGTGGCCCTGGGTCATCCCTGTGCGGCTCCCCTTTCTCTAGGCTCCAGAACGTCCTGTTCGGGAGACTTCCGAGGGCCCAGGCACCGCCCGCGCGCCCCTCGGGCCCCGGCTCGTCGGCCCCGTATCCTGTGCCGGGAGTCCTGTCGCTGTAACGTCCAGCTCAGTCCGTGTCTGTTCAGGGCAGCCCACGTGCAGTGACACCGTATCCAGAACGCATCCCGTGGACTCTGAAGGCGATGCAGCCGCTGCGAAGCGAAAGAAGAAGAAAACCCGGGACAGGGCCTCTGTGGCGAAGGGAAGCGGGAAGCTCTCCGAGAAGCCTGTCCCTGAGGAACCTCCTGCGAGCGCTGAGGCTCAGGCAAGAGCGGCCCGCAACTGGGAGGGTTGGGTACCCGGGTGAGTGGGCAGCCGTACGGCGGGCAGGGAGGTGACACGGGATGGCCCCACGGTGCCTGTGCCAGCCACTACCCTCCATCCATCCCAGGCGGAGCAGCTGGCCCGGGAACTGGCTTGGTGCATAGACCAACTGGAGCTCGGCCTCAGGACTCAGAGAGCCAGTTCAAAGCAGAGTAAGCGCTTGCTTTAGGGTTGGGGGATGTGTGTGGGTAGCAGGTTTGTCACCTTCAGCTGCAGCTTTGGGGTGGAATTGGCGTTAGAGACGAGGTGGTCTCCGGTTCTCTATCTTTATTCACAGAGGAGAAAGCTACTGGGGCAATTCGGACCCTGCGCAGTGAAAGAGCTGCTCTGCCCCGGAAGCGACAGCTGATGCGCTCCTTGTTTGGGGACTACCGGGCTCAGATGGAAGCAGAGCAGCGGGAGGCCTTGCGGGCCCTCAGGGCTGGTGAGGGGCTGGGAATTGCTTGGTTCCTGGTGGTCTACTATGAGGGGGTGTCAAGGAAGAATCTCCGAATGACAGGGCTGGTCCCAAGAGTGACACTACTCAGGGAATCCTAGGAGAGCAGGAATAGAGAAGCTTTCAATCTCTCAAAACTAGGCCTGTTCCCCTATGCAGGGACAGAAGGTCTGGGGAGAGAGGAAGGATGCTGGTCCTGCTCCAAACCCCAAAGAGCAAACCCATTGTTACCAAGTGAATTCCAACTCATGTAACCCAGAATTGGGGACAGCTGCCTATCCGACTTCTATACTGGGTTTCTATGCCGATCATGAAGCCAGATGGTATAACTGTGTGTGTGCAACGCCTAGAGCCAGGTGACCTGGATTGAATTCCTGGAACTTCTGTTAGTGGCTTTAACCCCTTTGGCAAATTCATCTCTCTCTGCCTGGTTCTGTGATTCTAAAATGGGAAGTGATTCTGCTGACCTCATAATTTGAGGAAGTAGGTTAATTTATACAAAGGCCCAGGAATTGAATGGTTATTGTGTACTATTATTACCCAGTTCTTATACTCTCTTCTCTTCTCTTCTCCCCACAGCAGCCCAGTCAGCACAGGTGCAACCTGTAGGTGAGGCCACCAGAAAGAAGAGTCGAAGAGTCTGTAGGCCTCGCCCATTGCGGGAAGACAAGGCCACAGTGAATACCCCTGATGAGTTTAGATTCAATTTCTTTTAACCTCCCTTCTCCAGAGTAGTGTGGATTTGTCCTGAGTGCAGAACCTTCCCAGGAATGCTTTCCTGGACAGACAGGAACTGTTTTGTACCTGGTGGGTCAGTGAATGTGGTGCCACAGCTTTGGCAGACAGGAGTGAGTGTGTTGGGTTTCATTAGTAGGTTTTCTGGTGAAATGTCCATCCTACCGGAGACAGAGTCATACTTAGAAAACCTACAGTAAACCAAAGTGTCCAATCTTTGGAGTTGGATTAAGTAGTAGTTGATGATAAGGGTGAGTAGGGCAGCTATATAATTAACCCTTGTTGTGAGTGCTTTTGAAAGGGTGCCTTATTAGACATATCACATTGTCCTAATAAGTCTCTATTTTTAATAATAATAATAAAAGATAAGTAAGAGAGTGCCCTTATGTGTTGGTAAGACAAATTGAGGATCTGAAACGGGTCTAGGCTCACAGTAGGTACTGTTCCATGTGTCGGCTTCATTCCTGCACAGGCATCATCCTCTGTGTTCTGGAAATCAAATGTGGGAAAGTGTATATATATTTTTAAAATCTTACTCTTTAAAAAACAAATTGGGGGTGGAATAAGAGTAAGAGAACTGGTGTGGTGCTGTGGCTCAGCACTGGTCTGCAAACCACAAGGGTGGAGGTTCAAACTCACCATCTGCTCCTTGGAAACCCTATACAGGGTTGCTATGAGTTGGAATCGACTTTACGGCACTTAACAACAACAGCAACAACAAAGGAGCTCTGGTAGCAGAGTGGTTACGAATCAGGCTGCTAACCTCAAGGTCGATAGTTCGAAACTACCAGCCAGTCTGCAGGAGAAAGATGAGGCTTTCTGTTCCTGTAAAGATTTACAGCCTTGGAAACCCTGTACCGGGTCGCTATAAGTCAGAACCGACTCCATGGTACTTAACACCACCACCACCAAAAACAGGAGTAAGAAGTTAGTGGTAAGACTCTGGTTAGGCATAGGACTTTGTTTAGGGTTGGGGTTGGGGTTGGGGTTGGGCTAGGGCTAGTTAGAGGGTTACAGTTACTTTGATTTATTTTTTTATTGAAATTTTCATTTCGTTTTCATGTGGAAGTTCTGTAACTACATTATTCCCTTTTACTTTATGAGTTTGTTGTTGTTGCAAACTGGTTATCTCTGGTATCCTATTTTCTGTTTTGTAGGTTTGTTTTACTTTTTATCTGGATTGAGTTTTGTGTGATATTGTCATGTCTGTTAATCTCGGGTTGTTGTCTGCTATTGTTTGTACTCAGTCCAAATAATCCCCTGTAGTGCTTTTTGTAAGGTGAGTCTGTTTTTTACAAATTCTTGCAATTTTTATTTATCTGAAAATGCCCTAATTTCACCATCATATTTGACGTACAGTTTTACTGAGTATATGATTCTTGCTTGGCAATTTTTTCATTTAGATTTTATATATGTTATCCCTTGTGTCCTTGATTGCCTGGTTTCTCTGAGAAATCAGAGCTTAGTCTTATCAGTTCTTCTTTGTAGGTAACTTTTCATTTTTCCTGAGTTGCTTTCAGGATTCTTTTGTTGCCTTTGGAATTTTTTTTTTTTTTTTTTTTTAAGTTTTTATTGTGATTTGAGTGAAAGTTTACAGGCAAATCATCAGTTTTACATTGAACAAATCATATATACTTTCCTTCATTACAATGATTATAACCATGTATCATCAGTTAACAGTATTTCTCTCTATTCAATTTTTTTTTTTTAAACCACCAGAGGGCACATTATGCAAGCCTGCCTCCTGGCCACTAGTTCTCAGTCCCTCTCTTTCCATGAATGTAGAGTCTTCAGCTGCTCCCTCTCTCCATGCCCCCATCTCTGCCTCCATCTCTGGTGTCGCTGCTTCTACGGATAAGGTCTCGCATTCTGCTTGTGCTCGTCTCCCTTGATGGTCCTAGTTACCTCTGTTTCTGGACTGTGAGATTAACCACTCCCCCATTTTTGTTAACAAAACTTCTACCTTTACATCTGTGACACTCAGCAATTAGTCATGGTAACTGTTCCTCACTATTGAATCATAAGAATGTTATCCCACCTCATAAGGTTCTGGATGGGACTCAGGACTAAGGTCCTATACTCTGCAAAGGCTTTGCAAGAGGCCTGTTTCACTGGGCAAGTTCTAGAACCCCTTTTAGGTATTCTAATCAGTTCTAGGCTGAAGATGTGCTTATAAGTTTTCTGTAATCAATTTTCCCTTGGTGAGCCGTGTGGCCGTAGGACTGATTCCCCAGGGAAGGTCTGACAACCTGAACACTGATGTTGTTGATTTAACCCTTTATGGACAGCTACTGAGGACATGGCACCAAAATGTAACTATTTAATACAGTTAGGAAAGCAAGCTGTCTATGTGCGTGACCTTCTTGTTTTCTGCCTGCCAGAACGGTGGCTCGCCAGGTGAGTTCTGCAACACTGGCATCAGGACAGTCTGGTCGAGAAAGTGACCAGAAGTGACCAAAAGATTTCTTCTGAACATGTTGTTGTTGAGTGCTGTCAAGTCGGTTCTGACCCATAGTGACCCTGAACAGGGTTTCCGAGGCTGTAAATCTTTATGGGAGCAGAAAGCCTCATCTTTCTCCAATAGAACAGCTGGTAGTTTCGAACTGCTGACTTTGAGGTTCGCAGCGCGATTCGCAACCACTACGCTGCCAGAGCTCCTTTAGAGTTGAATATTTAGAGTCATCCCTGTGTGGAGAACAGTGCCCAATTGTGGATCCATAGCTGAGGTGGTTTTATGGGTTCCAGCTAAGAATTTGGATATCACCAGCCTATATAGATAATTAGAAAGTCATTATAGACTCAAATTAGATTTCCAATCAATAGACTTATATTTACTATAGGAAATTTTCAGCTGTATAAGAAGACTCAGGAGAATGTTTGCCATATTTATTAATAGTCATATTACAAGAATTACAAAATATGTGTTAAAGTTTAGAAATCCAGAATCGGAGCTTCTGATCTCCTATCCTGTCTGTACCCTGGGTTCACTAGTATCTGTGCACATTGTAGCAAGTTTCTTGGTTGAATTCTCCCTGGTCACAAATTGTACTTGAATGAAAAAGAACCACTTGCTCATTTCCTCTGTAAATATCAGGCCTTAATGGAGGGAGGCTGGTTCTGTTCCGCAAACGTGTCATGAGACCACCATTTCTATCTCATTCTCTGACCCCGTGACCTGCCTGTACAAGTGGTCTCCCAGCTGCTCAGTGCACTAAGAAAGGTTACCTAGTGGCTTGGGTGGTCGCCAGGCACCTGAGTTAACATAGACAATTTCTCTAAGGCTTCGGCAGATGGTGGGCACCCTAGGACACCCTCAGTTGGCCATAGATCTGTGAACTCCTCCAGAGGGGACCCTGAACAATTTTCCAAGTCTCATTTGAGGAAGGAGCAGACGCAGGTGGGAACACAAGAGCCTGGGTCCTGAGAGTGTGTCCCACCATCATCTCCAGTTTCCTTTGAATCAAGAAACTTCATTCAGTGGCGTCTCAGCTCCTACTAATAATCACCACCAGCATCACCTACCAGCTAGGGCAGCCTCTGCAGGCTGTGGCTGGTCTGGGAAGCCTGCAGGGGACTTGGAGATTGCTCTGTAGGTTCTGCCAGTGATTAATCTGGTCCTGATGGAGAGGCGGGTGTGTGGAACCCTAAGATCTGAATCCAGGTCAGAGGATGCCCAACCTTCTCCAATCTCAGGGTCTTTCTGGTCTCCACCTGGTGGTTTGTTTCTTGTCTTCACCATTCGTATCAAGGCAAGAGATCATGTGCGGCACTTCAATTTTCACTTCTAAATCCTTGCCTGAGAATCTGAATATCCGCGATTTAGCCGATGGCCGCGAGAGGGCGCTCGAACCACCCCGTTCTGCTCGCAGGACCTCGCCCTCTGGGAACGGCCTGGCGCTGGGCGCGGACCACCTTGGTGGTCCCAAGTTTTTCTTCCCCCGGGACCCACCCAGTCTGTAGTGAGTATCAAGCTCCCTCCTTATGGGCCCGTCTGCTGTCTCCAACAGGGAGCACAGAACCGTGCGTTTCCCAGACTAGAAATCACGCTATTTTAAATTAATAAGTTTTATTTCAAAACTCGACTCGACAGTCACTCAGCAACAGCAGCAAATTCCCAAACCGGAATTCATTATTTTTACTTTTCTGGCTTTAAAGGAAGCCACTTCTTGAGTGTTTTATGCTTCGTGTTGATCTCGTTTTCACATGAGATATCGTTGTCAAGTATAAAATTCTCTCATGACCCAGTGACGGTCCTCAGTAAATAAGCAAGCATGCAAGCAAACAAATTATATACACACACACACACGTATACATATACATACAGACACATACATATATACATGCAAATATACATACATGTATTCATACACATACACGTGATACATACATCCATATATTCTTTTCTTCAGTATCATATGCCTTTTGAAAGTTCCCACTGTGACTAGTGTTAATAAAATTTCCAAACTTTTTATGCTTGATTAAGAACGATCACTATAGTACATATTAAATACCCACAATTGTGTGCCGCTTAGAACCATTTGTGATGAAATAGTTTGAGAACTTAAATTGTCAGAAGAATTGGTTGCTTTTGTAAATTGTCGGATTAATTGAAAATGTTGTTTCTAAGTGCCATTGAGTTTATTCTGGTCCATAGTGGCCCTGGAGGTTTCCAAGAAGCATCTGGTGGGTTTGAACTGGCGACCTTGTGGTTTGGAGCCCAGGGCTGATCCTACAGCACCACACCAGAAGTCGAAATCTTTCCAGGAGCAGAAAGCCTCCTCTTTCTCCCGAGCAACGGCTGGTGGTTTTGACTGCTTCTCAGTCCAACTTGTTACTCACCAACCTACCAGGGCTCCTTGCTCTAATTAAAAATATTCTCACTAAGAAACTGAAAATATGAAAGTACCTGGTTTAATTTCACATATTTCCATATTAAGGTGAAATTGGAATGTCTAGAATGTCCTCTTCTGGTTTGTGACAT